ATGTCATGATTTAACACAAGGCATGGGATGTGTATCCTTGTATAGTTAAATCAGCTGTTACTGAATCTCAAGTAGACTGGCAGGGATCAGATATTTATCAGTCTCTAGATAGCGACATATCTGGGCATGGCCATGCACTTTCCCAAGTCCTACTATTCAGTGGGCCCATTGACATTATACTTCTATACAGTAGAAGGGACAGATCCTGTATCTGTTATTCACATCTCTAAATATGCTTAGCGGCATACCCAACGCATAACTGTACGTCTACCAGTATTTCAGATAGCATTAGTTATGAATCAAAGCATACGGCCCCACATATCAGAGAATGTAATAACTTCAAGTCTGAGGATAGTTATAGCAAGGTCGATTTGAGAATACTGATAAACACATTACTGTAGATCCATGCAGTATTCTCAAGATGGGTCAATCCAGTCACATATTATCAATATAATATGCACCTACGTACAGATTAAGATATCACAATACCTATAGTCTATGAGACGCAACTATCTCATCTCGTACGTACTAGTCTTGATACGTTATGACGTCCGTATTATCATAAAGTGCGACTAGGGATATTCTAGACATAACCTTCGTCAAGAAGTAACAGTCTCATAATCAGAACATCGTAGTCCTCATCTATGTTACTGAAGCGCTATCGTCTATGGACTAAAGCTATGTTATGTTACACGAGATATAAAACATACTTCAAGGCCTTTCATTCATGATAAAGTGTACAATTACATAGGTATTTGATTGCCGCTAGGGCACCTAAATACAACAATCTCCCACTTGCCCTAAGGCCAATCAAGCATTTCTCGAATGCCCATGGACCACGTATGACTCTCGTGTTTAGGCTTTCCCAAAGCCTTCGTCAACGGATCCACGATATTGTCGTCTGTACCTATCTTGCAAATCTCAACGTCCCCACGTGCAACGATTTCTCGTATGATGTGATAACGTCTAACGATGTGTTTGGTCTTCTGGTGAGACCTAGGTTCTTTCGCTTGTGCAATTGCCCCATTGTTGTCGCAAAACAACGGTATAGGGTTCTTGATGCTAGGAACCACTCCAAGCTCAGTAATAAAATTCTTGAGCCACACACCTTCCTTGGCTGCCTCGGCTGCAGCCATGTACTCTGCTTCTGTAGTGGAATCAGCGGTAGTATCTTGCTTGTAAATCTTCCAGGTAACAGCTCCGCCATTCAAACAAAACACATACCCTGCCTGCGACTTGAAGTCATCTCTATCAGTTTGGAAGCTGGCATCAGTATATCCAACAATACTGAGGTCTTCTTTTCCGCCATATACCTGGAAGGCATCCTTAGTCCTACGGAAGTATTTAAGGATGTTCTTCACAGCCGTCCAATGGCTTTCGCCAGGATTGGACTGGTATCTACTCGTGACACTCAGAGCAAAGGCGACATCAGGTCTCGTACATACCATCGCATACATGATGGATCCAATGGCCGACGCATAAGGAACATTTCTCATGCGTTCTACTTCCTCCGGAGTGGAAGCACCCTGAGTCTTGGAAAGACTCGTGCCTTGG